CCCCCCACACCCACACTCACACTCACACCCACACTCACACTCACACCTACACTCACACTCACACCCACACTCACACTCACACCCACATTCACACTCACACCCACACTCACACTCACACCCACACTCACACTCACACCCACACTCACACTCACACCCACACTCACACTCAAACCCACATCCACACCCATTTCGTGATCTTGTGTTTTTTTGACTTTTTGTTCTTTTGACCTGGCACAAATCCACAAAGCCACAAACGCTTTTAAGTTTTTTCCGTATGATCCTCTCTTCAGTCAAGGGAACAGAAAAGTGTAAATACGGGAAGCGACAGTTCTGACTCTGTTGAGAAACTACATATGGAAGTTGATGCCAGTGAAGATCAAGAGCCATTAAATTTCAAACACAAAGTAATTCTCAACGATATTTCTGATATATTCGAATTATGTAAATCAAAATGTCCGACAAAATATAGCAGTGTATTGTTATTCATGACAATGCGTTATTTTGGCGTTAAATGGAGAGATTGTAATGATTTCTTAACTAAAATTGGAGAACTAACCAGTCAAACAGCTCATAAATGGGCCAGCGCTTTTGTTACCGGAGACTTTGATGAATTTTGTAATGATAATTGAGGTGGAAAACGTGGTAATGACTTTTATGATTGCTTTCCTGAAATTGAAATACAAGCGAAAAGTTTCACCCTGGGACGCTGCTCAAGAAAAGCAGCTGATTTTACAGCCAACGATTTAGCTCAATTTATTAGTGAACAATATTATCTAGTTACAAAAACAGTAAAAGATGATAGTGCTTCTCTCATTCGTTCTCCAGCTTCCTGTCGCTTAGACCTTCGTCGATGGGGTGCATGTTTTGAATAAATGGAAATCGTTCTTACTTTGAAGGACATGAAAGAGCCGACGTTGTTCAACATCGGAATAAATTTATTGACAAGTTTCTCGAAACAAAAGACCAGTACTATACGATAACAGATGGCGACATGCCGAAATGGATAATACCGATTAAAACTCCAGCTATAGTACTCTTCTGTAAGTGAACTTTTTGAGAGTAGGATTTTCTATTCTGTTTTCTTTGGTTCTTATCCGTCTAGTTCATAATGAATCAACCTTCAAATCCGGAGAAGTTTCTGCGAAACGTTGGTTCTTTGTCAATCAAGCACCTTTTTACAGTAAGGAACGTGGAAAATCAAATATGGTTAGTGATTTCATGATGCAGCGTCCAATTGGGCCATTCTTTCAATTGGGTGAACATGAATACAAGCGGGCTGTTGAGAAATATCCTGAATTATAAGCTCCATCCGATATTGGATATCCTCATCGAGCAGCCAATGCTTCAATTCTAGTTGATCGTGATGCATATTTTCATAACCCTACGAGTCTTGAATAATTCGAGAGAATATTCAAAATGTTACAATATAAAGACGAACTCAAAGATCATGCTATTTAGTTAATCGCTGACAACGTATGCACTCATTCCGCAAAGTCACATTCAGCCAGTGAATTTGGTAAATCGATTGGCACTCGTTGTCCAGTTGACACTATCGACTGTATTGACTCACAAGGAGCGAAACAAACGCTCGATTGTTATTTTCGTAGTGGACCGACTCAGGGGCTATCCAAAGGATTACTTGAGATTGCGAGAGAATTAAAACTAACAACAGTATCCAACTTGAAGCTCAAAGAACTACAGAAATTGTTAACTGATCACCCTCACCAATCGACGATCTTGCCCTATTCTTTCCAGGTTCTTGTTTTTCTTGGTTTTCAGACAAGATTCTTGTATTCTTGCTTTTCTTGTATTCTTCTCTGATTTTTATTTTTCTTGATATTCTTGTCTGATTCTTTTTTCCTTAGATTCTTGTCTGTTTCTTATTTCTTGTGTATCTTGCCTGAATCTTGTTATATTAAAATAGCTTTGTATAAGTTGTTATTACTATCTGTTTCATACCATTTTATTACGAGCTTTGCACACCATGTACAAAAAAATGTACAAAAAAATGTCCAAAAAAGAAAAAAAAAAAACTTTTAGTTCCACATGTTATTATAGAAGTTTCACAGTTTTTGACATAAGAAACAACATAAAATTTTCATTATCAAAAAAAAAATATTTATTTTTTTCGAACTTCATCATTGTCATGTGTATCTGGGATTTCCATCGTCCATTAAAAAAATACTTTTGTACATAATGAAAGAAAATCTAAAAAAAATAAAATAAATAGAAAGTTATGGATTAGTAAAATATTAAAATGTATCCAATAAGTGTAATTTATCGGAAAAAAATTTAAAAAAAGCTATTATATATTCCATTGTTCTCTCTATATTGAATGGAAACATTTTCTCTACATCTAATTGAAATAGAGTTGTTAGATGTTGTTTTAAACGAATCGAACGTTTTAGGAAAAGTACATATTCAAAGTGATATTGTACTAGCTATCGAATTAATAATGAATAAATAACGTTCAGACATTGCTTTATATATTTGATCATACAAAGACGACATCACGTGCCATTGATCTTGGAAAGCTAACAAGAATCTTTTTCTTTCCTGCCATAAGAATCTTGCCTGAACTGTAAGAAATTTAAAATATTTTGTATTTCTTTCCAGTTTCTGTTTTTTCATAATTTTCAGACAAGATCCTTTTGATCTTGAACCTCAGACAAAGTTCTTTTTAAAAGAAAAGAAAAAGATTCTCACCTGAACGTTAAATATATCTTGAATATCTTATGATTCTTGCTTGATTCTTCTATTTCTGATTAATCAGACGAGATTCTTGTCATCTTGGAATCCAGACAAGATTCTTTTTACTTTCCTGTCGAAAAGAATCTTGTCTGAATAGAGGGATCTTGTCTGAAAGTAAAGAAAAACAAGAACCTGGAAAGAATAGGGCAAGATCGTCGATTAGTGCTGTTTTTAGTAATGTAAGTTGAGTGCGTTCACTAGTCGACGATCTTGACTTCATTCTGTCCAGATTCTTGTGTTTCTTGATTATCAGACAAGATTGTTTTGTCATTCCTTCTATACAAGATTCTTGCCTGAAAAAACAGATCTTGACCTTCTGGCAAGATTCGTGTAGACAGAAACTTGGCTGGCAAGGCAAGAAATGTATCGTCAGGCACGATTCTTGTGCTCTT